TCTTACAGTAATGCTCTGGACAACTCTGGACAATACCACCATGTGGACTCCACCAGGGCTTCTTAGGGGAACAAACCAAACTGCACCATACAATGATTTAAACATTTGATGGATGCAGCAGCAAACCTATCTTATGAAATATGGACTAAAATTTGAGATCAAGCTTGACTTATTTTCCTAAAACAAAATCAGACTAGATTAGAATGGTGCCCAAACAGAAAAAGCAAAGTCCTAATTGAATAGTCACTAGGAATACGTTGTACACTGATCAGTCAGATTACAATCAGTCTGCCAAACATGGAAGCAACAGAAAAAAAATAAATGGGATGAGTGAGAGGACCATTACCTCCAATGCATGGGTTTGAGGTATTTTTATTCATTTTCTCTTCTAAAATTTAAGTTTGAGAAATAAACATAAACAACAACAAACTGGCTGAAGGACATTGTTTGCATTCTCTAACACTAAAATAAAATAAGAAGAGAATCACATGGTGATTTTGTTAGCATGCGCGAAAATCTGGCAGAGGATAAATATTTCCCAAACATATGTATCCAGCTTGCTATAATAAGATCTTTTCTTATATTTTAAATAATCAAGACCAAGTTTGAAAAAAACATAGTGAGAAAAAAGTCTCTCAAATGGAAAAGCACCGAATGATACAATGAACTAAGCCTACTGCTAGAAGAAAGTTCGAGAAATCTAGAACGATCTGGAAAGGGTAGCATTGAAACATGGGTGGGGAAATGTTGGGATCAAACAGGCAGTAAGTGTTCAGTCCCTGCTCTCAGACAACTACTCCTTCTATCTTGCTTTCTGGATTGCTGGTTCTCTCCCACGATAGCTGACAGAGAGAGAGAGAGAGAGAGAGAGAGAGAGAGAGAGAGAGAGAGAGTGTGTGTGTGTGTGTGTGTGTGTGTGTTTTGCCAGCAGGTCCTTTGCAGGTGACTATAAATTCTCATGTTACCATCATGGCAGAGTTGAGCCTTAATGATTTTAAGTTGAAGTGATGAAGGGATTCAATATGCCATGGAGAAAAATATCAGAATTTTATGAAAATAAAATGCTAAAATGCTCTTTCTGATGTCTTGTTAAATGCAAAAAATGTTTCATCTGTTATATTGCCTTCATTCTTAATTCATCTATAATTACATGTACTAGAGAAACAATTCTGCCTCTTTCAGTCTGCTTTCCATGTGTGTGTCTGTCTGTTCTGTCTATGAGTGGTGGTAGGAAGGGCCATTGGATGTGATCTGGTCTGAGACAGCATCTGAGGAACCAGTGGCTTCCATAATCACACCTACAGTTTCTGCGGGAACCCTCCCACGGCAGTGCATACATCATCACAAGGTTGATAGCAATCATTCAAGACATTATTTTCCTATTAATTTACAATCTGACTTCCTATAACTTCTACCTTAGTTTTGATTTTTATATATAAAAGGTACAATAACCCTTCAGTCGCCACCTTTCCAAGTAACTGAGAATAGCTTTCCCATCCTCCATCAATCTCATTTTTTCCATATTTAACATATCCTATTTCTCTAATCATTCCTCATATGAAGCCTTCCAGATCATTCACCATCCTATAATTCTCAGCTGAATAAGTTCAAGTCAAAGTCCATTGTTCATATTATCATTATTAAACAGGCTCCACTTATTAAGAATATGCCATATCCCAGAAAATGTTCAAATAAATTATTTGCTTTAATCTTCTCAACAACGCCTTTCAAGGCCAATATTTTCATCCTCATCTTTGTGTTGAGAAAACCTAGGTTCAGAAACTTTAAGGAAGTTCCTTGAAACCACACGGGTTACCATTAGCCACCCCCGGTCTGGTAGCTTCAGAGCATTTATCGCACGTGATTGAAACACAGCCCTGCAGGCAGGATCTGTGCAGCGCTGGGAACAGGATGGTTGGCTGCCTTCTGCAAACCAAACACTAGCGTCCACAGAAACAGCCTGTGATTACAAAATGGTTTTGACAACTGTATCACACTGCTGGCTCATGATGAGTTTGTAATCAACTTAAGCCTAAAGAGGAGTTTTACTCAAATTGTTACCGAGTCTGAATGCCCCTCTCACATACACATTTCTATTTTGTACTTAATCTCGTTTATCAGAGTAAAGTTTAACTGTTAGCTTTCCTGCTTTGCTTCAGTGTCCCACACTGTCCATTTCATAATAAAACTGGATTCTCACACTTGGGGCATGAATCTCTTTAAATAAGCAATACAGGCTTTAAAGCTCTATATTGCTTAAAAAATAATTGTTCAGCTGTGTTTCTGTGCCTTCATCCAGGTCTTGGATACAGACTCAATTTCAAGAAGAGCCAGCACTGAAGCTCACCTTTCCTGGGCAATGCTTTTCCTTCTCTGTTTACCTAGAATGCTCTGTGTATAGCTCACCAGGCAAGCTTTACTTTCCATTGTTTATATCAAAACACAAGAAATACTGTCACATGCTTTTCCCTTTTTTTTCCCTTTTTTTTTTTTTTTTTTTTTTTTTTTTTTTTTTTTTTTTTTTTTTTTTTTTTTTTTTTGAGATGGAGTCTTGCTTTGTCACTAGGCTGAAGTGCAGTGGTGCGATCTCAGCTGACTGCAACCTCCGACTCCCAGGTTCGAGCAATCTCCTGCCTCAGCCTCCCGAGCACCTGGGATTACAGGCGCATACCACCACTTCCGACTAACTTTTGTATTTTTGGTAGATATAGGGTTTCACCATGTTGGCCAGGATGGTCTAGATCTCCTGACCTAGTGATTTGCCTGCCTGGGCCTCCCAAAGTGCTGGGATTACAGGCGTGAGCCACTGCGCCCGGCGTACCATGCTTTTTAAACTAGCACCTCATTGCCCCCCTTGAAAATTACTCTACTTGATTTACAAGACATTTTTCTTATTCAACCAATAGGTTACAAATAAACCCACTGAACTTTACCATGTCCAAATTTCTCCATCTTCTTCACAAAGATGCAGTCATGAACACCTATTTTCTAATATCAATGTCTGTGGTGAAACTGAAAACATTCTACTGGCAAAAGTTTTTATATCCCAGAAAAAAGTTACTCTTAAGAATCTATCAAATGTATAAAAATAATTTATTGTAAAGAAAATAACTGGCCAAGTTTGCTGTGCCACTCAAAATGTTCAGTGACATCAAAAGAAAGGTAATTATAAAATAAAAATTTTGTAACCACAGTGATTATCTACAATGAATCTGAAGCACAGATATAAATTAAATTTGACAAAATGTTCAATACTGTTTATACCTTAGTCAGCCCTAAGGCATTATCCTCTCTACGTGAAACACCATAAACTTTCTTCTAGAGTTTTCCTTAGAAGACTCTGGTATCCGGAACTCAAATACTGCTAGTTTACCCTGTTCATTCCATTACACAAATGCAATCAATAGAAAGACTCTCCTCAAAGTTAAAAGTGTCTCGACTTAGATCAATTTTTCCAGAAAATTTATCTACATTAAAAAAAATATTGTATCTCTCAAGGTTACAAAAGTCCTATAAGTTTCATAGTAAAACTCAGCTAGAAGTATATTACTGGAGCTGCCTGTTTCCAGAATTCACATCTAGATGAGTAATTGGACACGTTGGTCTAAGAAACTAAATAAAATCAAAGCCAGAAAAAGGGAAGAAAGAGTTTTATGCATGGTCCTTGGGGATTCCTGTGGAGGCCCATCAATGTTTATGGGAATACAGCATGACTAAATTTTCTATAAATTGGTATAACAGATTAAATAATGTTGGATGTAAGACTTCATTTTCAAAAAACATAGATTTTTTTCTATGTTCCCGCAATCTGTAAAAATTTAGTAACCTACTTCGCATCCCCATCCTAAATGAATTCAACATGAAATGGATTTGAGTCTTCTGTTACAAGAAAAATATTAGGTACATGAGTGCATTATACAAAATATAACAGGAATGATGTGGGGGTTGGGGGACAGAAGAAGCAGAGTAAATGGGAACATGGGAAATAGGGTGGGCTTAGTATTAGCTGGCATGAGGAACGAGGAAGAGAAATATGTAAGGACACACACATGTGCACTGACCGTGCTGCCTGGGACACAGTCTTGGCACAAGCCTGAGGAAGGGTTGGACTGTGGAAGCACACGGTGGGAGGGGCGGGCTTGGAGAAGTGTGATACCCTCCCTTCTTTATGACAAGGGCAGGAGCTGGAGGCAGGAAGAATGAGCTCTTTGAATGAAGACATCGCCTCTGAAATAGAATCACCTTGCTAAAAGTGCAAGCCACTCCATCTTGGTGCACACACAGACATGCTCCTAGAGCCTGCATTCATGCCCTGTGTGAATTTTCCCTGATACTCAGAGAGCTCAACAATCAGCCATCTCTACAGCTCCAGACAGGTTGTGTTCTCATCTGCTAATTTGGTTTTGACAAACATCTCTGACAAAAGGCATTCAGCTGCCCTTTCTCTGAGAGGAATCTGTTTTCTTTACCAAGAACAAAAAGTATACCCTTTTCAACTAAAGCTGCAATGCCCACCACGATGTGCATTTTAAAAATTACCCATTCTCTGAGGAAGAAAAGGTCATGGACATTTTCAAATTATCCCACCATCCCTATGTACAGAATTTGTAAGTTTTCTACCAAGTAACAAGTGACTTGGGCATACATTATGCAAAAAAGATAAAATTCATGTAAATAATAGCTCACAGCCAGGATATTAAAGAAAAGTCTATTTTTAAAGGCTTCAAAAATTTTTTTGTTCCTACCATATTGTTGAAGATTTTATCTTTTAAAAAATATAAGATCACATTTTAATTTTGGTTGTAACATTTTGGGACATTGTACATATTTTTATGAATCTGATCCCCTGTTAGAGACTTGGGAATAACTTTATATTTAGAGACTGGGTTCAAGTAATTTTCCAGAGTCCTATAAAAATAAAGAGGCATCTTGTATATTTTATACCAACATTCCCCAGCTTTCAATATCTAGGACAAAAATGTCTTAAGACACATACTTACCTCTACATCACAGGTATATTCTGAGCCATCTAGAAGTATCACTTTGCACTGCATGCTTTTAGGCTTTTTGACAATCTTTAATGGAGACCGAGAGAGTTTACTGCTAGATGATTTCTGAGAGAGTTTATCGTCTTCTAATTGCTGATACTCAAGCTGTTTTGCAGCTCTGGCAGCAGATTCCTGTTCCTTGTCAGTGACCTGTGAAGAGCAAACAATCAACAGCTTTCATTGCAAGATGGGAAATAAATATTGCATTGCTCATGCAATAGCACAAAACTGCTTTCTATTTCACAGAGGAGAGAAAATGAATTAGGATATTAGGAATAGACATAAATATACAGATACTTACAATATTTGCCTAAATGATGTTTGCCATTTAAATGTATCAATAAGGCCTTAGTTCATTTTAACTCCAGGACTTACTTTAGAAGCACTGAGTTAGCAAATGCTATCAAAATTTCAACAAGCCAACAATGAATAAGTGATTCTTGACTTTTTAAAAAGCATTGGATAGTATAGGTCTCTAAAATATACTGTTTAGATTTCATAAATGTTCTATTTTCTTAATTCACCAGATCCTTCTATACACCATGACTTGTTATATAACTGTCTCATCCATATATATACAAGATATCTGATAAACTCTAATGTCTGGAGAGCTTCAAGTATTAATCTTTCCAGTAACTATACAACTGTTAAAATATTTGATTTAGCTCTCAATCAATTCAATGAAGTCAGCAGAACTGAATTTCATCACAAAGTAATCCCTATGTCTGCTTCCCTTCGCTGTAATGAGCCACTGTAAGAACATATCAAATCTGTCCCAATAGCTTTAATCTGCTTTCAAACCACAACAGACTAGTCCAGGCTAGATATAAAACTGCAGAGGACATCTTAAGTAACAGTAACATTCTCCCATAAACCAATCCCTTTGGAAATGTGCACACAGATCTTCAACTATTCTCTCTGTACATCCATCTTCTATCTATTAAATGACCACCAATGGTAGTACTGCAAATTCAATCCTTGGGCCATGCCACCGCTGCTCCTAGTCTGCAAATATGTGCCGACAGTCCAAAGAAAGATATGCACCAAAATTCTGCTTAGGGCTTTGAAAATAAGCATGAAATTTCCTCTCCCGTGAGTATACTATCAGCCTGTTGCTAAAAAGTCATGGGCTCAAAGGGTAAAGACAGTATTGATGGTTTATCATTTTAACTTTTCTATTAGCCTCTACAATTTTATAACACTAATATAATTACAAAGGTATTTGGGTATTTATTTATTTTGGATTTTAGGTATAGATTTCTGCTTTATCTTCATTTTCTATCTTGTTATCCATCCAAAAGACTGCTGATACAGTCCTCTCCTTCAATCCTATCTTGCCCAGGATTTCAAGGCAAAGTCTTGAGAACTTCTTAAGAACTGAAAGAGACCAATCTGCTGAGCTTATAACAAAGCAACAAAAAACTGAATAACCAATCATAAAGGCCAAAATAATTGAAAAAGCAAGTCTTAGCTTTAAAAAGTAAATAAACTAAAGAAAACATGCTCTGGCAACTCAGTCCTACTTTTTTAACCAATGTCTTTCCTACAGCAAAACATTAAAATAGTAAGTGCAATATAATCATAAAATCGTCATTAATTTTGCCCATGAGGTAATTTACAGAAAAGTTTGGTAACCTCGGTATTGTATATCAACAACAATAACATATTTGTTGAGTGCTTTATAACTTATACAAATTTTGTACATTTAAGTTTTATTTTTAATCTCCTCATAGGCAAAGGACATTAGAAACTATTAGTACATATTTATTTAAATTTTACCTGAAACCAACTTTTTCTGTGTGGCAAGAAAGATAAATTTCACTTTACTAAAATAAAAACATCGGTATGAGAATAAGCTTTCTGGGTTACTTTAAATGTCAATTCCAGAGGCATCTTAAGCCATCAATATTCAAAGGCTAGGCATGGTTTCTGGGAACACTGGAAACAGGAACCCATCACTGAGACCCTTACATACATTTTTTTTTTAAACTTTAAGAACTCTAAAATAGTAGACTAAGTCCCTCAAATGAAATGTCAATCATAGTCATGTGATGAGTTCTAATTTTAAATATCGGATTTTAGCAAATCCTCAATCTCATTTAATCCATAGCTCTATGGTATGGGTATTATTACCCTTATGTGCATATAAGGAGAGAGAGACACAGGGAGCCTAAGAAACTTTCTCAAGGCATAAATTCAATGGATTTGAATGAAATTCAAATCTAGCCAAACCCATGTTTTAATCACCGCTATGTACCAAAATGTACTTTATTTTACCTCCAACGGTTAGCTTCCTAGCATGAATCAAAGAATTTTGTGAAAGAATCTTAGAAATTATCTTTTCTGAACTCTTCATTTTGTAGATGAAGCTGAGGCTTGGGGACTTGCATGAGTTCTCTGAGGATGGGAAAATAATGACAGGAAGGGACAGGACTCTGAGCTCTCTGTGTTTTGAAGCAGCCGGTCATTTCTCCCTCTTATTGTCATTTCTCGTTTTGTATCTGACTATAGATGATAAAGAAAGTATATTTAACCATGTCTACATATAAACAGTCATACTTTTCTACAATTATCTCCCACTTTCATATTATTTCATTTCAGAGTAAAGAAAATATGAAGGAAAAACAAAACATTTAGTTTGGTAATTTTAAATGTCTGAAGATTAAAACAACAAAATAAAAAGAAAGCCAAACACTACCATCACTTCCTCCACAAAAAGAAAACGTAAAAGAAAACCATGATGGCTACAACAGTTCCTTGGGTTTGTCTTCTAAGCTGGGATGGGATCTCCCTGCTCTACATCACGATGCATCTGAGATCAGACAGAGCAGTTATTTATAGCTTGAAAATAATTGCTACTATTAATACTGTTTAAAGCAGAACTTGAAACTTTCATTTTAAAATGGTTACACAGAACCAAGCTAGTTTCCCTCCTCCCATCCCTCCACAGAAAACCTAAAACAAATATACAGCACCAACATTTTCACAAGCAACAACCCAGAACTCATATATGAGGACAAGACAGATCCTGGAGCCACAAAGAAATGGAAAACATCCATGCAGATGGTAGAAGAATTGGACTTCCACAGTCATGATGCCCCTCCCTCTGATTCTGCACAGCAATAAACATGCAGAAAATCTTCCCCCAACTTGTAGAAAAGTGAAACTGGAAAAGTGAGACTGAGGTGGCCAACCAGGTTTCCCACCTTCTTGAGCTTCCTTGAAGGAGACTGGTCCTTCCCTTAACCCATGGGAAAGAAGTGATGTGACTGCTTGAAGGAATAAATATACCTGGGGACAGGTAGACACAAAGTGGGTGGGACCACCAGCCTCAATCCTGGACACTCTGCTCTGCAACTTGGCCAAAGGAGATGCCGAATCCGAGTGGCTGTTCAGCAGCACCACGCTGGAGGAAGGCATATTCTACAGATGCCCTGTGCACAAATTCCTAGTCAGCCAGCATAATCCCTTCAAGACTTCTCTCATTCAGAACAAGCAGCACTCCCATCACTTACTAGAGCCAAGGTAAATCTGGGCTTAAAGACCACCTAGGGCCAAAGAGGTGGCAGATGCCTAGCAGTAAAAAAAACGTCTAAGCAAACATATCCAATAAAAAACAAAACAAGCCAGACAGAGAAAACTGGAATTAAAAACTAATCCTTCCATAAAAATCACGGACACCTACCCACAAGAAACAATAGTAAACAAGAAACTATGACCTCCCCAAAAAGACAAAGTAAAAATCCAGTGACAAACCCTTACAAGATGGTGATTTGTGAGCTAAGAATTCAAAACAACAGTTTTAAGGAAACTCATGAGCTTCAAGATAAAAATGAAAAGCAATTTACTAGATAAATCTGATGAAGAGATTGAAATACTTTAAAAAAATCAAAGAGGAATCTCAGAAATACATTTGGTAAACTGAAGAACTCATTAGAGGCTCTTAGCAGAATGAACCAAGCAGAGGAAAGATTCAGTGAGCTCAAAGACCAGCTATTTGAAAAGACACAGAGAAAAACGAAAAAAGAGCAAAAAGGAACAAGGACTGCATACAAGATATAGAAAGTTACCTCAAAAGACCAAACCTTAGAATTATTGGTATTCAAGAGGCAGCTGAGCAAGAGCAAGGGGTAGAAAGCATATTCAAAGAAATAATCACAGAAAACTTTCCAAAACTTGAGGAAGATAAATATTCAGTTACAGGAAAGTCTGAGAACATCACACAGATTCAACCTAAGTATGAATACTACAAGGCAATAAACTCTCAAAGCTCAAGGACAAAGAGAGGATCTTAAAAGTAGCAAGAGAAAAAGAAACAAATAACATGTAAAGGAGCTCCAATCTGCCTGGTAGCAGACTTCTCAACGGAAACCCCACAGCGTGGAGTGACATTTTTAAAGTGCTCAAAGAAAAAAAAACTGTCCTCTAAGAATATTGCATCCAGCAAAATTACCATTCAAATACAAAGGAGAGATCAAATCTTTCCCAAAAACAGAGAGAATTCACCACCACCAGACCCAACTTAAAAGAAATGCTAGAGTTCTTCAATCTGAAACAAAAAAACCACTAATGTACAAAAAATAAAAATCGTGTATCATCAAACCCAGTGATAAAATGTATCAAATCCAGTGGTAAAATCAAGTAAATGGATAAATCCAGAATATTCTATCATTGTACTTACTGTACTTGTAGTGTACAATGTACTACCACTACTACTACAACAATGATAACTCTAGTATGAAGCCCAAAAGACAATCTATCAAAAACAATATCTAAAGCAACCTGTTAAGAGATAGGTAATATTAAAATATGCAAATTGAGACAATTAACTCAAAATGTGATTGGGGTGGAGTTAAAGTGTGTGTGTGTGTGTGTGTGTGTGTGTGTGTGTGTGTGTTTTAAACGTGTGATCTCAGATGAGCTGTCATTTGTTTAAAATAAGTGTGTGTGTGTGTTTTAAATTTGTGATCTAAGATAAGCTGTCATTTGTTTAAAATAACTTGCTATGTCTGTAAGATGTTGTTGGTAAGCCTCATGGTAACCACAACACAAAAACCTATAATAGATTCACTAAAAATAAAAAGCAACACGTTAAACCGCACTACCAGAGAAAATCACGTAGCCACAAAAGAAGACCATGTGAAAATGAA